GATGAATGCAAGAACTAGCACAGAAACAAACAAATTGAGAGGCGAAACAAATAATAAAGACATCATCACCATTACTTACAACCATCGTTATGAATAGACCAAACAAATATATCAGTAGTTTCGATGAAATCTCACAAAATACACTCCATGGTGATAGCTATATACACAGAATTTGATAGATAAAAATATATACAATCAAAGTGGTAAGATAATTTAATAGACATGAATATTAAAGACGTACACATCAAAACAAACATTGTGAGTACAGAAGCACACAACACAAGATGCTCTTTGTAAGTTGAAAATGCCCTCATTGATATCTCATCCTTTTCCCAATTCGAAAACATTTCTACCACTACAACAACGTATATTATATTTCGCTAAGGTCCCACGAAAATTCATTGAAGATCTTTAGAGGCCACAAAACGGCTGATAATATTTGGTTTAAACAGCATATGCTACGAAGATTTTTAGAGATTCGACAGATTACTTATCAAACTTTGATTGTACGAATACTTAATTTATTTCATTTCGTATGCTTCCAGGAGTTTCTGAAGTTTAAAGACTACCAATATACCTAAAAATATTGTTGTTTTCTGCACACGAATAAACTTTTTTAGTAAAGCTTCTACTCTTACTTCGCGCTATTTCTCTACTGTCCAGCGTTTAGGCTTAGGATTATTCGAGTAAGGAAGTAAGTATCAAGATTTAAAGAAGCAGGTATATTACATAATATTTTGTCACATACGGTAATGAATTCAGGACATTTCAGAACTTTATTTTGCTGAAGAGACTATGAGTTATCTTGATTTTTGCTAACACGTGTTAGTTCTTTTCTGTAAGGATATAGTTCGCATTAAATCTCGTTCGTATTAAAAGAATCTCAAATGCTCGTTGTTAAAAATTACTGTGGACAATCGTAAAACTAAACAGTATCGACGGGTGATAGCGGTGAGAACTGATAAAGATTCTCTTCAACACTCCCCTTGCAGCTAAAAAAATTTCTCCAGCCACTACTCTGGTTCACATCACATCAAACCAAGGCAATCCTCAACGAAGCAGCTACGGAATACTTAAGGTTAACTTGCCTCAAGCATGATGTCTGGGAAAACAAGTCGGTTTGAGGGTTCCCTCAGTCCACCATTAATTCAATCTTGGTCACAAACTAGCGACACGCACTCCATCATATTCTTCAATTAAATCACTCACAGAGAGGAAAATTCAACAGCCAACACACTGGCATCATGGTGCATGTCATTTCGCCTAATCATGTTCATGCAGCCATAAAGATAGAAGATATGAACTGTTGGTCAAGTTAACGAGCATATCAACAGACAATACGCCAGCATCTTGAAAATGCTATACCACCGATGATAACAGTCATCCTAAAGATTTACCTCCCGGGTTTGTGTTAACTTCCGTAAAGGTCCAGTCAAGCATACTCAGCCATCGTTTTATGCACATGTCCAAGAGAAAACCGTCATCTAAATATCAATAGCGTATCAAAAAGCACATTAATCCATCTTTTTAATACTTAAAACAAGAAGGACCTAGAATCAAACCCGGTATTATAGCATGTATTAATTTGTTGCAAAGGGGAGTGCTAAAAAGACCCCACGTTACCTAGCTTTTTGTTAGTAAATGTTATTTCTTTCGTGTAGGGGTAATAGCAACAAATGTTTCTGACTCGTATTTCCTCAAAGGCATTTTTGTTATTTGATTAGTTATTTTCACTTCTGGTTTGCTGATTTTACTGTATACCCATCCTATTTCTGCTACTACATATCCTTGGATATCAAACGTTTTCTAACCTTCTGTCTTCTCACTGTGTCCCATAGCGTTGTGGAAAGCTGTTGAAGTATGTGGCAGTCTTTCGGTTAAACCACTTTGGGTAGATCTTCCTACGTATTTGAAAAACACCCAATTGTTCATAATTAAGAATGACCGTAGACCCTACGGACCCCAAAACCTAACTTTTTTGATATCAATAGCACTGAACACCCCAGATTACTCAAATCAATCAATCGAATCTGTTGGAACTACGTATCACGTCTTCTGGTAATTTATCGATACATCATATCGGCAAGGTTAGGGAATAGTATCTTCCATCGAAAAGTTAAACTACATTAAACAACACTAAAGCCAAATATATTACCAATAAAACATTTATACCGAAACTAACACTCGTTAAGATACAACTATGTAACTACTCGTTTAAAGTTCTTAAACTTGTAGGTCTAAGACCACCGTTAAGGTGAAACGCTTAAATTATTTAAATTACAATATCTAAACAGTTTACAGAAATAATTTTACACTCATTTCAATAATTTCATCAAACCATAACACTCAGTTAAATGGATGATATTTTAAAATTTAAACAAAATTGAGATAACAAGTAGTCTATAATTACATGCTCTAGAAAATTACTTTCCTGTAATGCATTAGATAAGAGGGGGAAAATGGAATATTTTCAAAAGATTCGATTTATTATACATGTAATGTTATATTGAGGGAACCTGATTTCTTATTAGAACCAAATATATCATTTATTAACTGAGAGGGGGAAAGGTTGCGTAATACACTGTATACAGTTTTATATCATAATAATAATAAAGAAACAAAACCACGTAAGAAAGTCAACTGGAAAAAGGTGAAATAAATTGAAACTGAATAAAAAAAAGGAGTACGATGGGTGAATCAAAAATCGACTAAATGAATAAGTGCACGTGATCGGTCAAGAAATATCTTTCATTTCTGAAGGATGAAGCATACATCGCTGGTTGTTTAATTTTTTAAGAGATATATATACATGTATATGAGTCCACGTACACATCATTCGGCTTAATTAATAAATTTCCCTCCTCATTCCTAATTTTTTCACTCGCATAGTTGGCTAAGCTCATATACAGGAAGACTGCATATCAGTATGAAATATCGGACACCACACTCCACAGCGGAAAACGACTCAGTTTATGGCTTGAACAAGTTTCAAACTTGATATATTATAACGACACATATAATCAAAATTGTATGAGCGGATTATGATTAGGTAGAAAAATATGATAATGATAAGACATCGCAGAATGAAGGACAATATTATCGGGTTAATTACCACCAACTATCAATAAAAACCATGCGAATTAGTTTGAAAAATATCCTATTCGTTTGTTTGTTATTACATAACATTTCCACCCCTGCGATTTTTATAGAATTATTATTTTATTCCGTTGCAAGATTTTTCGCTATATATGACAGTGCCAAGAGTTTTTCGATTCTTTTTTCACGATAAAAATAAATAAATAACGATTTCTCAAGTAATATCTTGGAAATATCATACAAATAATTCTTTTTTATTATCCTGAAAAGAGCAAGAACGAAGATCTGACCAGCAGAATAACATGAATTCATGTTATGTCATAAGACTGTGTTCAGCTTCTTATAGCCCGCTACGCCTAAAAGTCATAACTTCAAAATGGGCTTAAGTTAAGTATACAAATTATATATATATATATGGAATGACGCTAGCAGGATGTGTTTCATCTTATTTGGGACTCAGATACGCAGATACATCTATCTGACGAGTCCCAAATGGGACGAAACATGAATCCTAAACTTCACTTCCATATTCTATCTATTTTATATAAACTTACGAAATAATAGCTATACCAAAGCTATTCGTACAGGATACATATATGCCAACTAGGACTGATCAAAATTCAGTCAAAATATTAACAACAGAATAATCCGAACCTCTACAAATGAAATAAGAGTTTAGTTGGGAGTTGCTTCGAGCATACATCAGATTATTAATGGATCTAAGAGACTATATAAAATATTTCAAATATATATCTTATGAGGGAGGACATTCTGCAACAATAGTACTGTTATTAACTAATTTAATAGATAAAGAGTTGTGTTCTAGGCCTCGAATCACACTTTGTTGTTGTTATTGTTGTTATTAATACTACTATTCGATAACCCAAACTAAAATAAGTACAGGGAGGTTCAAAACTGAAACTTGAATGTAGAACCACTAAAGCACTGAGCCACAGGTTCATGTGAATAACCCTACTCTCAAATTAAAAATTGAAAGGTGTTAAGAAGAATTTTTAAAAATGATGAAACAATGGATATCATAAAAGCAAAACAGACTGACAAATGAAACATCGAATTCATGAAAATGTTTGTGAATTTACTTTACAGCATGTCTTATCATTACAAAAAAGCTAAATAAATAATCAACATGGGAGATGCTGAATTTTCGCCATATCAGGATACATATATTGATCTCTAATAACCTTCGTATTTATAAGTAGGTCAATATCTATGATAACCCCGATTTTAAATATTATGGATTGAAAGCAGCTGATGAGAACCTAACGAAATAAAATGAATTCATATTATTCTGAAACAATCTCTGTTTTTGCTCTTTTTATCCAACATTGTTCCAAACAATGAAGTCAATGTCATAGAATCCAATCTCAAATACAAACCATTGGAACAGTAATACTGCTTACAAGATGTTCTCATTAAACATGAAATATCACACTATACAAATAATAATAATTATAAAAAAACTTATCAACTATAACTGTGATAACTATGATTGACTTTTGAAAAAAATTATTCGGAAAGAAATTGGAGAGAAAAAAACAAAAGATTCTTTCCCTAAAAGGTAACAGTCAGTTCCAAAAAAATTAAGAATTTACACAGATTTCTCAACATGCCATGTTAAAACCAATTTAGTTAATAAACAAGGAAACGTCTAAAATGTGAAGTGACTTGTTGAAATTCATCTATTTTTTTCTTAACCCGAGTTCTTTTATAAAATTATCGTTCAGGTTGAGATCGCCAGTGAAAAGCAACTTTCACTAAAATGCTCTAATTACAATAACTTGTACTGTTAATAATTAAGTGATCGGACTATGTTATGAATTTATGGCAACAAAAATTTAGAATATATTAAGAAACAAATTGAAGAATAAAAAATATACACTCACTTTTTCCTCTTTTAAAACTTGAACAATAGAATCTAGTTGAATTATACGTCCTTCCAAATCTTCTAAACGTTGTTCCACAATATCTTTGCTATTTTGTAAGTCAGACAATTGTACTTTTAATTCATTATTCTCTTTGTGTAAACGTTCCACTTCATTACGAGCAGCTACACAACAAGATTCCGGATGACGATGATGTGTATGAGACTGAAGTGAACGTTCTTGAATATCATTAGAATTTTCCGCATTGAAAGAATTAATTAACGAATGTTGTGTGAGATTTTTTGGTGAATCAGATGATTTCACGATACTGCTTGTTGACTCTGATAGAGAAAGAGGATTACTATCACAACCAATAACATCGGAATTAGTAGTTATATTACTAGTCGTTGGTACACTAGCTCTATGCTGAGCTATACGACCAGTATGTGATAAATGAAGCCGACGTGATCCAGGCAATGGACCTGGACGGCTTGTAATTGGAGGTATTGATCCAATTGAATCTGATTCATCATTGCCATCACTTGTTTGTTGGGTATGATGACCAGACTCTCTTCCAGTAGATGGTGATAACGGAGCTGTTAATGAAGCATTACTATGGTTAAATAGTGAACCTTCCGTTATATTTTGTTGATTATTTAAACTACTTTCTTCAATATCCATAGAAAGTATATTATGATCAGATGTAACTGTTTGTATGTTGGACAAAGTGTTCTCATTTAAATCCCCTTCACCAGCCACCTAAATGTGAAAGTAAATAGAATAAGCTAGAAAATATATTCAAAAAATATAGTCTTACAGCGGCTTTTTTTATTACATTTACGTGAATTTATTTAAACTTTTGTGCAAAAAAAACATTTTTTATTCTTGTCAAGCATTTTGTGAAGGATCATGTTCATGAATTTGTAGAGTATCTATTTCCCAATGTTTAACACATATGAAATATCTAGCGTTCCCTAGTTCATTTAGTAAGTGGGTGTTGAATATAATTTCCACTGAGAATTTCGTTTAAAGTTTTTTTCATTCAGACAGTTGAGATACGCTACAGTATCTCATTCAGTAAAGAAATGTGTAGATAGATATAGACGACTGAAATCAGATCGTCAGTGGAAATTATACTTTTGTACGCAGTACTGACCCGGTTAATGAACGGGAAAATCCTAAAGATCGTACTTTTTTAGACATTGCAAAACGATGGTTGTGATCTTCCATATGATTCTTTGTTATATCTTTTGACCGCTGACCAATATTATGTCCCAAGTTACAATTCAGAATCCTGATTCTAATTTGGTTTATTTGACATCTACTATTTCCTCGATAGCCTAGTGTCCACAAATTAAACAATTACATGGCTGACCAGCACTAGTATTCTTCAACTGACCCACCTAAGTCCCTATTGGTCCAGTATTCGTAAGCTTCTGTCCGTTTGTAGTCTTGAGTACAAAAGTCAACGACCAGCTTTAACTACATTTATATGTCAAACAGAGGTGATTTATATACAGACATAACGGACTTCATCACACCATATTACGAAAAATAATAATTACATATAAACAAGCCAAAAGTGGCTGCGAATAGGAGGACTGTAAGTAATAAACTGACAACAAATGAAGAACAGTGGATCCTATAACAGAATATGATGACTTAACCGAAAACTTATGATAAATGGGATATATATATATACTCAAATAATATTCTGGGTCAAAGGAAAACATTTTGATAATAAAAGTACAGTGTACCGTAGTTTTCAAAGACTCACTGGCCGATTGTTGGCAATACATCTATTGCCGAAGAGTGACATGTAAAAATTAAAAACATTTTACTTAAACTGATATTTCTCTATCAAATATGTAGACAGGATTAAAGCAATTTAAACAAATCGACTGTCTAGAAAATATCACTCCCAATACAATATACTAACTAACAGTCATCATTGATGCCAGCAGAGAGATACAATTCAATACAAGAAATTATATTCAAAGTATGAAATAGATAAATTACCCTGGATTCTTTCTTTCATTTTATCAAAATACAATAAAATTACCGGATAATGTTTTTTTTGAAAAAGTATGAAAAAAATATTTTGACGAGACATCACTCAAACAATATACATACCACAATAGAAGAACGACACACATGCAAGATGAATAAATGTCAGGAAAAGAAGACGACAGTACACTTTTCTACATAGGTAATGGTACCATTTACGACGTATATATATATATATATATATATATATATATATATATATATATATATATATATATATATATATATATATATATATAGGGAGAGAGAGCATAACATGTCATGTCTCAACCTTAACAAAATACTATAATAGAACAAAGAACAGATGACTCTCGTCCATTTCCTTCATACTATAGATTATTTCCAATAAAATTCAACCGGGAAAATAATTGAAATTCTTTTCCACTGAAAAAACTATATTCCAAGACAACATATTTCAAGAGTACAATATCCAATACCATTTGTATCAATACAATTATAACAAATAACAAACTTTATAGTTTATCTCACACATTTGAATAATAACTATCAGCTCAGAAATAAATAATAAGCATTTAAATTGATCACTGGTTAATACATTTAGTTTAAATCGTTCCTCTTGTAAATTTACTCTTCCGGAGTACGTAGTGTAGTCTTTATCAGCTTCTTTATTCCGCTGTAGACAGTTATACCGGATACAAAGTAAGAACATCTGTTCATAAAACATTTTATTTAAAATGTTAACAGTTTTATCGAAATTAATTTATCGTGGAGGTTTAGGCAGAATATGGTTTTTATGCTTCTGATACTCATTAGGACCAAGCTTCTGTAACATTCAGATTCTGATTAGATAAGTACCCAATCAACTGACTACTAACATTTCTGACTAGTAATTACACTACTATTCTGTGAATAATTTACATTAATTCTATAATAAAATACTTGAGTTGTGAAGTTAATCTTTAATAACCATTAAAACTAACTGATACATCAGTAAGCCTCTATAATTCCTTGTTGTTGATATTTAGGAATGCAACGGATCAGTTTTAGGTATCATAGATACATTATCAGCGGATTACCTAGATAATAGCGTTGTGTTACAAGTTTTAGTGTATTTGGCGCATAGCAAGCGGTATAATTCACGATGCGTGTTTCTTCTTACTTGGGACTCGTCGAATGATTGGACTGATATTCGAGCGTATATTCTTACGCTAGGATTTGAATCTAGTATACATTGCTTTAAGCACCCAACGCACCAATTATATATTGATATATATATATATATATATATATATATATATATATATAAATTAATAATATATATAATTAATGTCTAACTTCAACTGATCCACGAAGTTGAGCAACCATTCACCAATTGTCTTCAGTGAGTTCCTATCTCACAACAGACGTGATTTTGAACTCCACTGGTCACTGCTTCTTACTAGAGCTCCTAGATATACTTCTCGAAGTCACTAGTCACTGAGGAGTCCCATAATAGGACGAAACGGCCGTGCAGTGTTTCCAGGTTTTCCATGGTGGTCTAGCTTCAATTGGCTCAGGCTTTCAACTATGATAAATACTAAATCTCCACAAAACCCCTTCTGATAATTAATATAATCACTAACTTGTTCAACGGGTACGAGGATATTAGATATTTGTAAACTATCGTTTTTTGATACTTTGGACTGCAATTAATCAATATTTTCGCTATATATAAATCTTGAGAAGACAACCTCGATAGAGCACTATTTCGCAAGCTTTAACTGACATCATTTACAAAAAACAATTAGGATGGAATATTTATATTCAGTAAGAACAATTTGTATCGAATATATGACATTATTTACTTACTACCTCACCTAACCTTGTACTACTATTATTTTAGATGAGTGATATGACTCATTAATATCACTTACAATATCATTGTTCCTGTTATAAATTATATGTATATATACTTCTAAAAATTTTATTCTAGTCTATCAGAGGTATACGTTTTACCCTAAACTCTCTTAAAGTACGAGAAGACAAACAAAGAAAGTTCACTTACATTAGGGAGTTTTGTGTATGTGAATTATTTGTGTACACTCAAAGTTTATACACACTTTTTACAAATTATTTCTATTTGGAACGAGGAACATAAATCATTTCAGTAAACTGAATGACATTGTTACATTGTACATTAATAATAATGTATAAGACACCTTAGTAGTGTGTATTCATGATTCAGTATTGTTACCATTACTATTATTATTGTTATTAGCAGTGACTAAATTTTGTTTTCAGTCATATCCACAATTTGACTAGACAAAATACGCAACATTCTATACACAATTTATTTTTAATAATAACTAATTAAATTTGATAATTAAGTGCTATGCTTGAAGAGAGATTACGAGACCGCGTAGTCAGTGAGTGGAACGAAGGAAACAGCGACATAACGACACAAGACAAGCTTAATTATACCGATGCGTCCCAACCCCGCTAACTAGAGGGAGAAGACCTGGTCCAGATGAGGGAAATGTACATTCCACAAGCACCCAGAAGCACGAACAACGATAACCACACAATGCAAGCGTATATACAAACAACATAAAAATGTCCTTCGGGAACGTTACAAAATAGTATATTAAAAGAGGGAACGAATCAACGACATTTAGGGTCATTTCAAGTGGGAAATATAATATGAAGGTAAAAATGGGCGTGTTTGGAGCCAACGCGAGAGATTCGAATTTTCAAAATGAAATTACACAAATAAGACGTTCACCAAGTGATTTCTGGGGATCTAGGATCCCGAACATTAAAGTTAGCAATGAGTGAAGTTGGGTGTTTGAAGCCGGAGATACTGAGTTCAATACTCGGTATGAACATTCACAATGGGGTGCAAGCACATGAAGCTGATGAATACCTAATAGAACCAGGCCCCGATCCTAGATTTCACTGATAGACACCATTGAACGATGTCTAAAATGCTTGCGACTTAATGTCATTATCGAGGCTATATATATCAAAAGAGTTTACTTAATTGTAGCCCATAACATTAACAGGAAGATTCAAACAACTAGTTAACAATAAATAAAATGTTTCATATAGGCTTATTTCCGAAAAATAAAACAAATTGAACTATCTACTGCAAAACATTTATGCACATTCATGTAATTACCAAAGTAGTTCGTTCAACAATTAAAGATTATTATCAGAAGGTGTTTTTGTGGAGATTTTAGTAATTTTATGTAGTTAAGATCATGACTCAATTGACGCTAGACCACCATGGAAAATATGGAAGCATTGAACAGCCGTTTCGTCCTATTATGGGACTCCTCAGCAAAAAGTATCCACGATCCCCCCTGGAGAGATTCAAACCCAGGACCCATTGGTCTTGCGCGCGAGCGCCTAACCACTGAGCCGACATTTATTTAAAATCTTAATTTTATGAAGTTCATAATAACTTTTTATATGCATAATATTTTAGGAATATTTTACAAATGAAAGCATCCACTGCTGAGGAATCCCATAATAGGACGAAACGGCCGTCCAGTTCATGCAGGTTTTCCGTGGTGGTATAGCTTCAATTGATTCATGAATTCAACTATCAAAAAATTACTAAAATCTCCACAAAAACCCCTTCTGATAATAATCATATGCTCACTAGTGACTGCCTCCAAGAGGTATTTCCTGGAATTCTAGTGAGAAGCAGTGACCAGTGAAGTTCAACCGGGTCTGTTTTGAGATAGTAACTCACTGAAAAAAATGGTGGACGGTTGCTCAATTTCGTGGACTGGTTGAAGTTAGACATTAACACCGTTGGATGCTTGCTCAGTGGTCTAGAGGTTAAGCGCTTGCGCGCGAGACTAATAGGTCCTGTGTTCGAATCTCGCGAGGCTGGATCGTGGATGCGCACTGCTGAGGAATCCCATAATAGGAGGAACGGGCGTCCAGAACTTCCAGGTTTTCCATGGTATTCTAGCTTCAATTGACTCATGAATTCAACTATAAGATTAAAAGTTAAATAAATCTTATTCTCTTTCACTCATGCATGATAACTGTGAATAGCACATTGACTTCAATTGCACTAATAGTCTAAATACAAATACCGCTAGAAAAAATGTATCTGTACTGACGATGATAATGATAATGGTAGCATTAATATGTGGGGTCCCAAGAGATCGATATGGTTAATTAATAACTTCACATGAATCGTTTTAAAACAATTGTATGCGTAAATTATTAATGATTTTTTAGCACTAAAAGTAAAACAAATTTATCTTAAGTGTTACTCATGTGTGGTAAATACTTATTGTATCTTCATCGACTGAGATGGTTAAGAAATATGTTAAGTAGGTTTAACCACCGCCTACGTCCACGAGCAATGGTTGTTAATGAAGAACTATGTTCGAAAAAAATTAGGGATAACTAAAATGTAGTATCGGTTCATCAAGTCATTGACTACTGGGCTGAGCCATTCTGACAAGTGTAGACTACCTAGTTTGGGTCCACGAGATAACTGTAATCAGTGGTTAGGAAATTTAGACTGCATAGCTCACAATCGTTCACAATAACCCACGTCCATTCACTCTTCATTTCCCCTATCGATCGTCAGTTCCAATTTCTCGTCATACATACATTTCAAACTGTATTCCAAAGTCGGATCTTCCTTTATATTGTTGCTATTACATTATTTCGACATTTTTTGTTATTTTATCTCTTTATCCTAATCCAATGTAGTAACTTTAGACAACACACATCTTAACCAATCTCTATATCGATGATATCTTCTTTTCTATTCTAAAAAGGGATTGAACAAACTAAATTATTCATTTAATTTAGATTAATCCAAAACTTCTAACGAATCCATATGACATAATCAAACTCACTGAACAGGTACTTGATTATGAGCCACACTCGAAGTGTGTAAGTTAATGATACTAGCCGGTTGCTTCAAATGAAATCTTGGGCTTAGTAGTTGAAAGTTGAACGCCCTAACCAATAAGCCAGTAAATTTTAAATACTTAGTTGTAACAGTATCAGAGAGATAAAGATAAATATTAATTTTACAATTTATAACTAGTAGGTGGAAATCTTAAAATTTATCTTGTATATGAAATGATAAGGCACTAATTTATATCAGATTCTCAATACACTTGAAAAACTTTACTGGCAATAGTTGAACAATAAAGATTCCAAGGAATCATTTGTAAACTAGTTTAAAAGAAAACTTTTCAAGTTGAATGTGTTTATTTTTCACTAAGAAACAAAAACACACTATGGCTAAAGAACCATTGAAAAGTAGAAAGGACTAAATAGGTAATTCACTTTATAATTTGAAGTTAATTAATATTGTATAAAAACTAATTTATCTAAATATAGACGAGAAATTAAGTCAATATTTCATCATAACACCTAGTTCATTTAATATATATAAAATCTTATACAGTAGTGCACCTATAATCTACGTGCTACACAAATAAGGTGATGACATTATAAATGAAAGGAAGTACAATCAAACGATATGCGCTAGGTTGACCTTAATTTATCTAGTTTTTGATGATAAATGCAAATTTCCTTCCTGTAAAAAAAACTGTATCAAGTAGGTAATTGTGATGAACTGACAGAAACTAGTACTACACCATTTTCATCCATATCATAGCACCATTTCGTAAACTAATGGCTTCTCCACTTCCTTCAACCAACACCAGAATAGGCAATTATTCATTAATATCTAAGTATGTTCAAGTCATCGAATCTAGGGTTTCACGATGATAAAAATGATTAAATTATCTTCACGATATTATTTCTGCTATATTTTTATTGATCGGAAGGGGACTTGTGGATATTTCAGTATTTTCATAGTTGAAAACATCGTGGATTGGTTGAAGTTAGACATCAACACCGTTGGATATCGGCTCAGTGGTATATCGGTTAAGTGCTCTGGCGCGAGACTGGTAGGTCCTTGGTTCGTGGATGCGCATTGTTGAGGGGTCCCATAATAGGACGAGACGGCCATCCATTGCTTCCAGGTTTTCCATGGTGGTATAGCTTCAATTGACTCATTATTTCAACTATATCTTTATTGTTAAAATCTCAATGATCCGTTAAGGATGAAAACTATATTTATAAGAGTCTGGGTGAATGAGCTTTTAAGTAAATCCAATGTTTCGTCCGATAACCTGGTTCAAGATCCTTCAAGGAAATACAAACAAACATTAAATTATCGAATATAAATATAAGGTTTTCCGGTTAACAAACTGAACAATAATGTTAACAAAGTCGAAAATGAGATTTGTTGTAGTAACTATGAGGCATTTGGTGTGAAAAGTTGAGAAAGTCGTGTTAAGATAACAGTTGTATGTATATGTATGTAAATATGATGCACCCACTAATGTAATAGGCTGTGCTTGTATAATCCCAGAGCTTAATAGTTGAAAAATTCAATTTTTAGACACAAGAAAAATGAAAAGTTCACAACCAATCCGTTCAGCTCAAAGACCACAACAACTTCAACATCCTCATCCTGAGCTACGAATATTCTCCATATCTTAAAATATCAAAGCAATGAACATCAACCCCATAAAGTCATTAATTGTTGTATTGAACTGTTTCGAGTGATGCAAAATTTCCGAGAGATAATCACGATCAATCGATGAAGATCTAAAGTGGCATACATCAAGATAAATCGTAATGGTGCAAAATATATTCATTCCTTATTTTCATCTAAACACTAATTTTCAATATCATCATATACGTTCCGTTTCGTAAATTTATTCGTTCTTTTCAAACTATAGTCTTTATATTTATTCATTTTACTTCTTCATGTATTTAAGCACAGAAACATCGGTACGAAAAGGCAAGAAAATATATATGCACCACAAAAATGATTTATTTTGTGTGTAGGCTGGGATACTCCGTGGTTCCCCACACCGAAGCAGGCGGTTTGCTTAGGAGGCCACTCCCAGAACCTTTGACCTAGAAGTCTAATCTACAAGACATTGGAGAAACGTTAAAAGGTGAAGTCATATGATAGCCAGTGACTAATAATAGGTTCATATGCCATATGTCCCCTTAGGATCCTGAAACTCATATGCGCCATGTCCAACTCCCCTAGATGAATCGTCTATACCCACAAACCCAATTCAAGCGTCGAACATTCGCTTTTCGTCACCTCAACCTCGTAAACAGCACCCCCACCACGAGAAGTTAGTGAGTAGGACTTCCCTGACAGTGGCTGTATACGCTTGTCCATAAGTATTTCGAAAGAATGACCAGAGCCTCCCCACTGTCGGCCGTACCGACATGATTTTTTTTAATACTTAACTGATATGTGTTTTCTTCTACTGTACTTTTGTGAAGTGTAACAATTCATCGAGTTAGTTAATTAGTAAATGTGTGAGTGAATGACTGAATGAGTATAGATGGTGTGAAAACGAGTCCTTGGTGATTCGTTCATCATTATTTATAGCATTCATTCACCTTAAGGGCAACATAATGTTCTGTATCTGTTGATCATTAAAATACGTAATTGTTGTTTTAACATATTAACTATTTTCAGGATAGATGTTCAATACAATATGATCAGTATAGGATTGTGAAGATTTTTGAGTTTTAATCGAGATAATAAACTGATCAATGTTTGACCACCATTAAAAAACCTGGAAGTAATGGACAGCCGTTTCCTCCTAGTATGGGACTCTTCAGCAATGTGCACGCACGACCCTTGAGCGGGACTCGAACCCAAGACCTACTGTCTGGAGCGCGAAGTCGTACTGCTAGTTGTGCTTGGATGTGGCGACAGTAAGCTGTTTTCATAGACAATCAGATTCTATAGTTATATTGTCTTTTTACAAAAGTAACTAAAAACCATTAACCCTAGAAACAGAAACAGCATAACAAGGACAACAACTCGCAAAAAAGATGTATACAACTGGCCTCAAGCAGTTGTCGCTTGGGCTTTGCGCTCACGCTTCCAAGTCACTAAGACGACCTCGAATCCAGTTACGTCACGAAGAGGTATCCTCTCACTTTTTAAGTGACTGGGAAGTAGCAACCGCCTACACATCCTGACTACTATAAACCATGACTACTTTAGTTTTTATCTCTTACATATTTTCCTCTTACTATACTGTTATAAAGTGTAGCGATTTGAGTGAATGTATATTTGTTTCATGTCATTACAGTGTTTATGATTAACTGATTGAATTGCACCTCTATTTGGGCATGTGTTTAAACTAACAAATAGAATTAGGGGTCTGCAACTAAACAAAATGATTTTTCTCTACAATTACCACTTACCTGATCATATACAGGGTCATCACGAGAACGACCGAATTTCTTCAATAAGATTTCACTGTTTACATTCATCGGCGGTGGTGATGATGACAATTCTAATCGTAAATGTTCATGATCTGGCGAATTCTCCGAAATCAATGTTTCTTGTAAAATATCATTACATCCATTAGTTAATTGCTTATCTAAATTATCGCACGGACTACTACTACCATCACTATTATTAGTACTATGTAAACGTTCAACATCATCTATATGATTATCTTTTGTTTTAGGTGATGGTAAAGATGGTAAAGGACCATTACGACGTGAAACAATAAATTCATTTAATTGTTGTCGTTTATCTGTATTAAGATAGTCTGTATATGAATGTTGTGTTTTTCGTGATTTTTTGAAAGACACTTCAACAGTCGTTGTAGCTGGAGCAGTAACAGTTGTAGTAGTCGGATTTATTACCTTAGTCAATGGTAAAAATAATGGCAATAAACGTATCGACGCTTCAGTGAGAACATCTAATGTTAAAGTATGAAATTCAATGGTAGATAATCGACCTAATTTTTGACGTGCTTGATTACGTACTGATGAATAAGTTGTATTTGGAGGTAGAAAAAATAGAGTTAAGTTAGTAATTGCAGATGTTTGACGTAATGTTGTTGTCTTATGTAAAGATGGACTAGGGCCAGATTGTATAGTAGGTCTGGTCTCTTTAACTATACTAGCATGCAGTTCATTCTTTGTGCTGGTGGTATTGTTGTCATTGTGGCTAACATTAGAACCATTGAATATTGAATAGTTGTTTAAATGTTTCGGATTAGTAAATGTATCCAAATTTTCAAGAAATGAATTTGTTAAACGACGATCTGCTTCATCATATACATCAATACATAAGTCCTGTAATCAAAGAAAAAACACAATTCACATTAAAAACAAACCAGGTGTTGTACTGTACTTCAAGATTTATGAAAAACGATTACAAAATAAATAGTTGAAGAGCAGTCTATTCGATCTTCTAACTTTATTTCCGTATGAACAACGTTTTCATTTCAATGTAAATACTACTTACAGAATTTAAATTAATGTTTTAAACCCACTCCGCTTATATATATATATATATATATATATATATATATATATACCAAAACATGGACAGTATTCCTACAGTTGAAGAACATATGAAACTCAAAACAACCGTCAACCAATATCAAGGTCAGAATCTTCAATACGAACGTCAAGACAGTTCTACTGTACGGAGCTGAAACTGGAATGGTGCGCCGCCTTCTAGCATTTTCCATCTAACTCTGTCCTGGGCAATCCTTTCCAGTTGTTTCCAGTTGCTATTCTGTTGGGGATGTCAAATCCCCAGAACTTACTTGATAAGTGGCTCAATTTTGTAATTTTATTTTGGAAATTTGAATTTAGCTGTTTTCGCGTCAAAACGTGCTCTTATTACCTTCACATCATATTTCCCACTTGTAACTATCTTAAACGCTATTGGTCCATTGTTTCTTTGTGTGTGCTAATTATTAACGATGCCCAAGGACATTTCGTTGCTGTATAAATACGCTTGACTTTTTCCCTTATTTGATTACTGTGCTTCTGGCTGCTACGGAATATAACTTCCCCGCTCCAACTTGGACTTCTTACTCTAGTTAGCTGGCTCTGGGTCGCGTCAGTATAGCTAGTCATCGGTCTCTGGTCACGTGTCTTTGTTCCGTTCGTTACTAGTGAATTCGTAGCGCTTCAGATATATCAATTGGCGATGGTGATTTGGAAATATGGATCCTGCAAAAGTGGAATTATTGCTCGAACAGCAGATGAAACTTATCAAGATGCTAACAGAAACAAAAATTACGACCAATAGCCAATCAAGCAGCTCTAATCCTACCACTACTGCACCTTCAGTTGATGGTATTGCCAGCAGTATTTCTGGGTTTCATTACGATCATGAATCTAATGTTACTTTTGATATGTGGTTCCGCTGTTATGAAGATTTATTCAGATTTGATTTTGCCAATCAAGATGATGCTTGGAAAGTCCGTTTGCTGCTTCGAAAGCTGAGTCCTAATGAACTTGATAAATATTGTAACCTGATTTTGCCTCTAAACCCACGCGATCGCTCATTCTCAGACACTGTCCAGTCATTGAGCCAACAGTTCGGAGATAATTACTCACTGTTCAACACACGCTATCGATGTTTGAAGCTGACTATGAACGAAGACACGATTTTCTGACGCATGTGGGCATTGTCAACCGCGAATGCGAACGCTTTCGGTTGAAGTCGCTAACTGAAGATCAGTTTAAAGCCCTCATTCTCATCTGCAGCCTCCAATCGCAAAAGTTCAGTGATATTAGAACACGGTTGCTCAGTCGATTGGATCAAGACCCTAAGCTGACTTTTAATGATATTGCTAACGAATATCAACGTCTAATTAATCTGCAGCATGACACTATCATGGTTCAACGTGGTGTTTCTGATCGCCCTGAAGTACATGTAGTCCAACAACAAACGAAACCTGTTAAACCCGCTCCAGCTATACCTAGTTCGTCTCACTCTAACTCAGTTCAACAAGCAAAGACGAATCCTCCTGCTCCATGCTGGCACTGTGGTGCATGGCATTATGTTCGAAGCTGCCCGTATAAACAACATCGTTGCAGGAAGTGTAAAGCTGTGGGCCACAAAGATGGGTTTTGCCAAAATAAAAAGCCGAATCGCCCCAAAAGTACTAGAAAGTCTGCTCCCAAGCCGTGCACAAATTCGTTGAGTCTTGTAGCATCCTGTCAGAACTCAACCCCAGATTACAAATAGATATAGCATCAGACGTGACAATTCTTCCACAAAAATCTTGGATTAAAATGGGCAGACCACGTATGGCGACAACAACACAAAAACCTCGTACAGCATGCGGTAGTTACCTACGTTTGTTAGGTCAACTACATTGTGAAGTGTCTTTTCGCGATTCGACGTTCACTGGGATTGGTTTGACCAACCGCATTTAGCGGACGTCCCGTTAAACACTCTGTACCAACTAGTAAAACAACCCCATGACCCGGAAGCCTATTTAAAGGAACTAGTTACGAAGTTTTCGACCGTCTTCCAGCCTGTTTTGGGTCGGTGCTCAGCCATGAAAGCAACGCTTCGATTGAAACCTGGGGTCAAACCTGCTTTTCGTCCGAAGAGACCAGTACCATATGCGGCATTACAGAAAGTTGAGGAAGAACTTAATCGCCTTCAACGTGAAGGAGTTATTACTCCTGTCTCTTATTCCGCATGGGCAGCACCCATTGTTGTTATCAAGAAGGCTAATGGTACAATCCGAATATGTGCAGATTTTTCCACAGGTCTCCACGCAGCCCTAGAACAGCATCATTATCCGCTGCCAGTCCCGGCAGATTTGTTCACTATGCTGAATGGCGGAAAGCACTTTGCGAAGTTGGATCTTGCTGATGCCTACCTACAAGTAGAAGTGGCTGAAGAATCAAGAGGGCTACTCACTATTAATACTCATCGTGGCCTGTTCCAATATAATCGACTGCCGTTTGGAGTCAAGACCGCCCCATCTATTTTCCAGCAGCTAATGGATACCATTCCATCGGGTATCCCGGGGGTCGCAACTTATCTCGATGACATCCTCATTGTTGCCACAACGTCGGAACAGCTACGAGAACGCACAACAGTCGTGCTCCAACGCGTCAGCGACAACGGGTTCCGGTTACGCCCGGAAAAGTGCCAGTTTTTCTTGAAATCCGTGAAGTATTTGGGGTTCATCTTCGATGCTGCAGGTCGCAGACCAGATCCCGAGAACATTCGAGCTATAAGAACTATGCCCACACCTCCCAATATCTCTACTCTACGATCATTCTTGGGATTGGTTAGTTATTACTCAGCCTTCGTTCCATCGATGCATGACATACGCGCCCCACTGAATTATCTTCTGAATAAGGATATCAGCTGGAACTGGACAAAGGAGTGTGAAAATGCCTTTTGTAAGCTAAAGACAATTATTTGCTCAGAACTACTATTAACGCACTACGACCCGTCTTTGCCAATCATCGTGGCCGCAGACGCTTCAGCCTTTGGGCTCGGTGCTGTTATTTCACACCAGTTCCCCGACGCGACAGAGAAAGCTATCATGCATGCATCCCGAACATTAACCCCAGCAGAAAAGAAGTATGGCCAGATAGAGAAGGAGGCTCTTGCCCTAGTATTCGCAGTGCGTCGTTTTCACAAGTTTCTTTATGGTCGGAGATTTACTCTCCTAACTGATCACAAACCTCTCCTTGCGATTTTTGGTTCGAAGTCTGACATCCCGGCCCACTCTGCAAACCGTCTTCAACGATGGGCCTTGATCCTCTTGGGTTATGATTTTGACATTCAGTATCGACGCACCCAACATTTTGGTCAGACAGACGCATTGTCACGACTCATCAGCGAACACTCTACGACCGACGAAGATGCCGTTATTGCTTCTCTTTCGACAGAAGACCACGCACAATGCTACCTGACAACGGCTGTTCGTGCTTTGCCAGTCTCAGAATCTGAGATACGAACTGCTTCCAGAAACGACCCCATCATTAAGAAAACGATGAACTACGTCACCAATGGCTGGCCATCAACTAAACTTGACGGTGACATGAAGCAGCTTTACCATCGTCGTGACTCATTATGTGTCGTAAATGAATGCTTGATGTTTGGAGATAGAGTGGTGGTGCCAGAATCCCTACGACCGAGGGTGCTGAAGCAATTCCACATTGGTCATCCAGGCATAAAGCGTATGAAATCCATCGCCAGAAGCTATGCTTACTGGCCCCTCATGGACCAGCATATCGTGGATCTAGTAAACAAATGTGCTCAGTGTCAACAAGCTGCAAAGTTCAATGCGAAGGTGCCGCCGGTTCCATGGCCACAGCCTGAGCATCCCTGGTCTAGGATACATGTCGACTTTGCCGGTCCAGTCAACGGAACCACTTATCTTGTCGTAGTCGACGCCTTCTTAAAATGGCCGGAGATTGTTCCCGTCACTCCACCAACGACCACCCAGACTCTGAAACATCTGACTGAGTTGTTCGCACGAAACGGATTACCGGAAGTGATTGTATCCGACAACGGTTCGCAGTTCACCTCGGCGCAGTTCCAAGAGTTCTGCAAACGCCTAACCATCAGGCATCTTCGCGCCCCACTTTATCACCCACAATCGAATGGGCAAGCGGAAAGGATCGTGGATACGTTCAAGAGGGCCCTTATTAAGTCAAAAGGGGAGGGGACACCAGTGGAAACACTGCAGAATTTTTTATTCGCCTACAGAACGACCCCCAACGACACGCTTCCGGGGCAGAAGTCCCCCGTAGAGATCCTCATGGGAAGACGGTTGAGGACCATCCACAACTTGATGCTGCCGAAAACCACACCACCACTAGTACAAACCACGTCCCGGAAGCTACCCACGTACAACGTTGGATGTCCAGTATTTGCTAGAGACTACAGAGCAAGTCGTGACCCTTGGATCGAAGCACGTGTGGTTAGAAGGGTAGAAGTCATGTACGAGGTTGAGGTGGGAGCGGACAGGTGGACCAGACATCGAAATCAACTACGCAAGCGGTTAACGCCAGAGCGTCCATCGACCGAAGTAAAGATTCCGCTGGACGTACTATTAGATACCTTTAATCTGCCGGCAGTCCCAACGCATGAAGAAACATAAAAGGTCGACCTACGGTCCCGAAGATGGTCACTGCGCCAACGGCGAAAGACAGTCAGAATGCAAGTGGACCCAAAGAATGTGCGTTATTAAAAGGGGGAGGTGTTGGGGATGTCAAATCCCCAGAACTTACTTGATAAGTGGCTCAATTTTGTAATTTTATTTTGGAAATTTGAATTTAGCTGTTTTCGCGTCAAAACGTGCTCTTATTACCTTCACATCATATTTCCCACTTGTAACTATCTTAAACGCTATTGGTCCATTGTTTCTTTGTGTGTGCTAATTATTAACGATGCCCAAGGACATTTCGTTGCTGTATAAATACGCTTGACTTTTTCCCTTATTTGATTACTGTGCTTCTGGCTGCTACGGAATATAACTTCCCCGCTCCAACTTGGACTTCTTACTCTAGTTAGCTGGCTCTGGGTCGCGTCAGTATAGCTAGTCATCGGTCTCTGGTCACGTGTCTTTGTTCCGTTCGTTACTAGTGAATTCGTAGCGCTTCAGATATATCATATTCATCCTTTTCATATCTGCTTCCGATTCTCGACCCAGTGTGTTCTTTGGTCTTCCTCTTTTTAATTTCCCTTCAGGATTCCAAGTTAGGGCTTACCTCGTGATGCAGTTTAGTGATTTCCTGAATACATGTCTTATCCACTTCCAACGTCTTTTCCTAATTTCCTCCTCATCTGGCAGTTGGTTTGTTATCTCCCACAGAAGGTTGTTGCTGATAATATCCGGCCAACGGATATTCAGTCTCTTACGTAGACAATTGTTTATAAATACTTATACCTTTTTGACTCCGTCTGCAGCTCATCTAGAGTTGCAGCCGGTCCCAAGTTCGGGTAAAGGAGGAGAGTTGGGGATGGGATCCCCAACCCAACCACATAAAAGACTACCTTGCTAAAACGGTGCTAACCAATAAAAACGACCTGAGGTAGGTTAAATACATTTTTGCCAATAGTTCTTGATGTTTTGGCTTCGTAGTTCAGTGGCCTTACTATCGGAGATGGAAGTTTGAAGGGCAAGGAGAGGTGTGGTATTTTTAGGGTCAGCTTTAAGTTACTACTCCTATTCTTAAGGTTCGCCAACCACCCCACCTTTCACGACAGACTTAAAAACTGCTCCAGACAATATGACTCAAGCGGATCACCATGATCGGCAAGCCTGACCACCACATCAAGGTAGAAATTAAGGTTAGTTCATAATTCCTGTTGTCGAGTTCAATAGTCACGTAGGTTTTCGTATAATCATTAACCACAGTCAACAGCTTAGCAACATTAGAAGTTGAGTGGGAAGTTGTAAAAATAGGAAATCTCTATTTCTTTGGAACTTCAAAAACCAATGATAACAGCCAATGCGCATAACCAAATCTTTTATAAATAATCTACTGGCCATTTATAAGCTTAAACTTTCTTTAAAAATTAGGGATTATTGTCAATTTTCTTGTAACCTAGACAAGATTATAGTCTAATACTCAAGAGATTCAACTCAAAGCACGTTGGTAAAATGTCTAAACAAAAGAAATAAATTGGTTACTCAAACGGTATGTTTCACACTGGTGTAGAGTAACATTGCAATATCAATAATCCTGTTTTTCATTATTAAATAAATGTATTCGGTTTCGCGCACCGTGATGACGGTTTATATTGATTTAAAGATACTATGCCACTCAACTCAGACTCTAATACAATGGTATATTTGTTTCCACTACGTAGGCTAATGCTATCAAAAATTCATCCAGAAGCCATATTTTTGAATGACGACAATGTAATTTGATCACTCAGAAATAACACGTGTGTTGAGATAGAGATTTATTCTAAGTATTAACTAGTAAAAGGTGTTATTCAACACGTCATGATCCCAAAAATAAGACTAAATTCATATATATCCATTAATAGTGTGGTGTTTACTACTTATTTCAACAGAAGTAGTATGTAACACCAATCAAGCCATACATGCCTGGCAGAAGGCTGAGAAGATTGGATTGAAGAGAACGGGAATACAAATAGACAGCAATGGTAATAACAAAAGGAACGAAGGAATGATGAAGTTTTGTAAGAGACAACTGATGGAAGATATGCAAATGAACTATTTAATGTATGGTTTTCGTATTTCACAAGACATTCTGTAAATCGGCATTAACTGATAAATTGGTCTTTCCCCACCTGAGTTCTTCATTCATTACAATAGTATTGAATCATTCACCAGATTCTAGCTACAAAGGATCAGTCCAATCCAAGGTTATCAAAACACAAATATGAGTAAATTGTGGAGAAATTTACTAACTTCTTCAATACATGAAACCAAGGAATGTATTCACAGCTTACACTAATATTTTGGAGTAGAAAATAAATAGCTAAAGGAACACTTCAGTGTAATAGTGGAAGAGTATGAGTATTTGTGTAGTTAACACTCTATCATGCGATGACTACTAGTTCCATTTAGTGTAACGACTCGAACACAATTACATTACTATTTTTCCTCACGACCGTAATACACAGCCCTATAACTATGACTAATGATAACTGAAAGGTCTAACCTTAATCGCACAGATGTGCAAGGTAAGAGTAATGCATCTAAGATAATTTCATTAATGTAATTTCATCTTTGCCTACTAACAATACGGAAAACGTATTTCAAAAAATGATTAAACTGAGAAGTTGTATCGGTTTATAGAGTTAATGACTATCGGACACAGCCGTGTAGGTATATGTAGACGACCTGATTACGATCCATTAGATTATTGTGATCAGTGTCTGGGGGCGTTAGGTGATGAGATTCAGAATCGCTATCAATGGTCTAGATATTTTTTATTATTTCCCTTAAAATACTTTTATTTCCATTCCACAAATTCATTCTTTCTTCGTGAGTCATACTTTCCATTCACAATGTTTTCTAGTATCACTGATACTTTTACTACGTCTACTACCCTGAGATTTGCTTTGATAACTTTATCTTACTTTACTGCTCATTGTGGCATAGCAACTTGAAGCGAAGCAACTATATATCAGATTCGATGTTGTTTACAACCGACTGACATTTGGCTCATAATTATCAAAGTAAAAAAATGAAGGCAAAAACAAAAGCCGGATTATTTCATTAGCATGCATCGACAATCATTTTACGTGCTTTGGAACGTACATGTAAACTAGCAAGCATAATCAGAGGTAAAAATAAAGCGGGTATTTGTCCACATTTAATCGTCACAATAATCATTTGGTTTGGTATAACAACACCAACAACTGAGTTCGAACTAAACTAGTTGTTCAACTAGTCTATATTATATAATCTATCTTCAGTTTAAAAATAATTTCCATTTCTATGCTCTTCTGGGATACTCAAATATTTAGCTTATAGATAAGCGAACGTTTGAACAATTCTTCCATATTATCATCTCTTAATATTATTCTATCTCCAGATTTTAACTCAATTCATCCTAGACATTTCGCGTGTACACTAACTTCATTTCAATGATTAATACTATGGTTTTAGGTTATAAGCAGCTGAGAATCCATGATATAAATGAACTTGTTATTCTGCTACGATATTTGTTCTTTTTTTATTAAAGTTTATAAATTGGGAAAAAATATATGAGGCACACGAGACAGTTTACATTTTGGAAGAAAAACGAACGAACAAACAAAGGACTTACGATAAATGCATTATTAGGTAGATTACTTAATCTTCCTCTAGCTTTGATGATCCAATTTTCTTGATCGTCTGCTTGTTCAACATTTGAGGTAGCAGTAGTAGTAATAGTTTGTCCAGTAGAATTAGTCAATTTTACATCTGTCGATTTTGGTGCCGATGATGCACCATTCGATTCATGTATTAATGAAGTTGAAATTAAGAAATGACCATTTGTTATTATTTCACTGTTATTATTATTATTCACTGACAGTTCATTACTATGATTTATATTTTTATGGGTCCCACCAAAAACAGCTGCTTTATGATCAGGTACGTGACGTGTAAGAAAATAAGCTAAACTATCTGTCAAATCATAATACGCTGAAACTAATACATCAACCATAGAAGACCAAGCAGATTGTAACCTCTCTTCACTTGACATTGTTACTATCTTTTCTTTAGAACTAATCGATTCATTTAAGGTTAATGCTTTGTCTAATGCTAACTGAAAGAGAACGAGAGAGAGCAATAAAGAAAGAAATGAAGAGTATATTTATAAGGAAGTATGATTCTAAAACTGACACGCTCTTCATCACGTGTACGAATAGCATATCATCTATCGACATCATATGTTGTATAGAAAAGTAAGGAAACGTTATTCTTTAAAAAGAGGAACAAATTACATTGCGCTCTTTAACTAAACAACAAAACCACCAGGTGATACACTTGATAATGATTTCTAACTGTTTCCTAGTCCCCCAGAAATCGACATTTGAGATCTATATGAAAGACTAAGGGCAAGAAATAGAATAGAAAACCCCTACGTCCAATGATTGTTTGGGCACGGCAAGCAGGGATATTTATATGTTTATATGCAACCCTGATATGCTAGAAGCTCCTGGGAGCATGTTAAGACTACTAGTAAAGTGGTTAATTATCCAATGAGGATACGATACAATCCGTCATTTTTCAGAGCTCTCTGAGAAATTTCCGTTGAACACTGATTGGACTAAGCGTTTTCCTATTGTTTTTTTTACCTTCCGAAGACTTTTCTCAGGAAGTATCGAGGACTCACGATAAGTCACATCAAGCTTACTGAAAACAAATTTATTAAAACAGTGTAATCATTTAAAGAGACCAACACCCAAAACAAACCTTATTTTCAATACCTACCTTCTTTGTTATATAGCCTGTTTTTATACATAAAACCTATTAAATCATCAAAAGCTTAAATCTAATAATCAATAAATATACGTATCAGATGAGAAAAATATACAATAAATAAAGTAGCTCATTATGTCACTAAATAAAAATAAAGAGAATCCATAGAAGAAAATTTCCTTTCTGACGGCATCATTTACTTAAGTTGTAGATTCGTATTTACAGTTGTTAGGTAAATATATAAATCTGTAGAAAGATAGAAAAGATTGTATTATAAAGTGATACGAATGCACAGCTTAAGTGAATGATTTCGTTGGAAAGAAAATTTTCTTCGCTGAATTCTCTTTATTTTTATTCAAATACATAATAATGTCAGTAACAATAGTAATAAAATATGAAATATAGAACAGATGAAATGTGCTTAGCAGTGGGATCCAGGACCTGCGTTTCGTCTTATTTAGGACTCGTTAGATGGATGTACTTGAATCCCAGAGTTGATTTTCATTCCGGAACTCCAACTTCCGCTGCTTGCCACAATCCATCTATTCCATATCAACTTGTGTTACAGTGGCTATATCGAGATAATTCACACAGGATGCCCACGTATCAACCAAGACCAATTAAATTTCAGTCAAAAAAGCAACAACGAGATAATATAAACCATTTCAAATTGAATTGATACGAGAAAACAGTGAGAATAAAGTTAAAACTATTCATAAAATGGGGTGATTAGAAGCAGTGAGTTATAATCCATAGCAATAATTATCTCTACTTGGCAAGTTTTATTTATACACATAATGAGTTCAGCCGATTAACCTATGAATGTTTGAGTATCAAACCATAAAAGATAAATTCACTCCCGTTAGTGGGGAGAATACTGATCAAACAATAATAATGACTAATTGAAAATAAAACAACTTGTGGGATTTATTGATAACATTGTATCCTCAAACTCATCAATAGTGTGCATTCTTGAGATGTTCAAAGTTTAAACATTTAAATCAAATGTACACACCAATATTGAGGAAGACCATAAATGGCATTCATTCTATCGTGTAATCAACCGAACAGCAACCGCCAAAACGCAATAATGAAAATAAACTACAACTTAGAATGAACGAAGCTCTTGAAATTTTCTTCAGTGTTCTCGATATTCAATCTTAATAGGATTCATCATTCATTTTGATTATAAATACTTGATTCACAGTATAGATAAGTGGGTAGGAAGGAAAAAACACATGTATCACTCCTAACTAGTTTGTTACTCTAAATCACAGAAAAAGGTCATACATCAAATGAGAGATTGAAAAACACAGAAATTATTCGAGAAATTAGGATAATTAAACAGAACAAATATGTATTGAATAATAGGATAAGTAATAGTTACGAATTTACATTAATATTAATCATATTTTTTTTAATTACTCTAAATTTAATCCAGACAGGTATCTGAAGAGGTGAATCCGAGATTTTCGTGTACTGTATACAATAAGGGTTGATGACCTCGTGAACCAACATCATTTTTGAACATTTCGATTAAAAACTACTATATTCTTCAAACCCATTACTCTTACATTTAACAAGGCAAGTTTATGGAAGTAAATCTGACAGATTTAAAATGTGAACCAATCATACACAATTTACAATAATCTTCATTACTTAAGATCTAAATCAACCGTTACAAACTTTTCTGAATGTTCCAATTTTTTAATTTTAATTAAACTGATGTAAATGGCCATGGGTGAAATTTTTTATTGTCCAGTTTAGTGATACTATTTAGTTGCTTAAACTAAAGTAAGTGGGAAACCTGGTCGTAACTATTTCTCAATCAACAAAACAAAAAAAATTTTATACACGTTCAATAACAAGTGTTTACACTGAAATGTATCGCTCTATAGTTATTCAATAGAAAATAGTTAATCAATTTTTGAAGGTTTTATTCATTGGCAATTACTTTTGAATGGTCAACCGTCAATCAATCCTATTACAGTCGCAAATATTATGTCATATAATACTTCAATTCTATGAAAACTAAAAGCATTGATGATAGTTAAATCCATATATATATATATATATATATATATATATATATATATATATATATATATATAGAGAGAGAGAGAGAGAGAGAGAGAGAAATTCCATGGCTCAAAAATATGAACTTCTGTACATTAGTTGTTAATATGGCATAATGATGGTCGTAGCACATTGCAAATTGGTTAGTCAGTCAATCATAAGCAAAGTAGAAACCCTAGGTACACATATTTATTAGTACAAGTTAACACACCAAATCAGTGCAACAAAATCAAAATTATCAAGATGAACACTGAAATAGTAGCGGTAGCAGTATCAGTGATAGTAAGATTGAAAATCAGACTGGATTAGTAGATATGACATGAGAAACTGACTGATTTATGGAATAAAGCAAATACAATTCATTTTGAAACTCAGAACCTAAAGGTTGAAAAATATTGGACAAATCTAGGCCATTAAAGCAGATTCTAAGTTAAGTAACACTGTGTGAACAACTGCTTGCAGCGTAACATGAAGGTCTCAACGGAGTTGTCGGTGTACTGAAAATAAATAAAGAGCTAAAGAGGAAACGTTTGTTCAGTACCAATCTAATTTTTAATACTTTATTATCCTGATATCGATTAGGAATAATGAGATTTAGACTTCAAAATAGACAAACATTACAAATTTCCCATCCCAAATGCCCTGGTACAGTCAAAAAGCTCTTACATGAACATGCATATACAGTCACTGACAAAAAAGTCCTACTGATCGCTTTCTCGCGGCATTACTGTCGTTTACGAAATTGAGAGGACGAAAAGTGAATGTCTATCGCTTTAACCCGGTTGGTGGACACGGTGGGTTCACCTAGAAGAGTTGAAAACCACTGATCCCAAGCCGATGGTGCACATCAGCTCCAAGATCCTGAGAGAATAAATGGCATGTGAAGCTAGTGTTGGCCACCGGCTACCATGGGACTGCATCTTCTAACGCTGCTCCACTGCCTTTTAGATTAGACCTTCAGATCAAAGACTCGGGGTGTGGCCTCCTAAGAAAACCATCTGCTTCGGTCTGGGCACCCGAGCAGTAGCACAGCCCACACATAAAGAAAATGTGATGACAATAATTACTGGAAATACTGTTTTCGCTCTCATTAAAATTCAAACAATTCACATTCATTTGATAACATTCATTTTTATTTCTTTTATATACTACATCACTTATTCACTCACTTTTATTCCCACTTTGTGTATTTTTATTTTTCAAGTTATACAGCAGCTCACCTATGGTGAAAATTCTGTTCTATCCAACGATCTCGAGCCACTGACTGGTCGAAAATTGAATGCTACAACCGAATACGAATACTGAAACAGTTTTTCTGAAACCACGTGCACCACTCAAACTGTCTTCCTTCAACGTTCGCACACTAATGAAGATCAGACAAGAGATAGGGTTGGCTATGTCTTTAGAAAGTCATACTAGTGACATGTCCGTAGACCCGTATTTAAGACTCTAGGAATGTACTACAAGTCCGCTCTACATCTGTCGCTTCGAAAAGCTTGTTTTATGTGCGCTTATCCGGGGACCCTGTGGCATCTTCGTCTGGTCTTGCTGGTGTTGGTGTCGCACTAAGCGCCAGAGCTGAGGCAGCACTAATCGATTAGATCCCCATTAACAGTCGGTTGTGATGTTAGATTAGAAAGCCCAATCAAAGTGAGAAGAAATCGGTGTGAGAAACTATGTCTTTTTGTCATCTCCGCCTATGCCCCTACAGATTGCAGCCCCGAAGCAATCAAGGATTAATTCTACCACCAACTAACTTCTCTTCTACATAAAGTGCATTCGACAGATATTGTGGTACTAGCTATAGACTTGAACGCTTAGGTAGTCAGTCAGTCAGCCAGCTACAACGTAGGACGAGGCATATTTATGCATCGGTCCAAGTTGGCATATATATATATATATAACAAACTAGGAAAATCAGGCTGATTCCAAACCTTAACGCGGATGTAGTGATCAAATTTTCAACATTAATTTCTATTCACCAAGATTGTTCACTTTCCCCTCATATATTTAACCTTTTCATAGACATTCTTTTGAAGGCAACTCTCCGTCTAACTTTTCGGGAGTTCATCTCCTAACATGATATTTACTTGTTCACTTAGAACACGTAGATGACATAGTTTTGCGTGGTGAAGACTCTGACAAACTCCAGAGTTTTCTAATAGCCTTGAGGGACAACGCAAGCATGTTGGGAAAGTGATTCACTAACTCTAAATGCAAAATATCTTTTCAGGACTGGTCTACATCAATAAAGTAACTGACTAAACTAATGATAGTAAAGTAGTTGGGCGCGTCATGTCCGTCTACCAACAAAGGAAGGTGTGTACCGAGAAGTTCTCTTTATTCTAATTTATGGATGTGAAACGTGATCTTCGAAAATAGAGAATACTTATGGACTACTAGTAGTTGGTCGTAGATGACTTTGAAACATCGCCTGTGTATCTTGGGACCACCGATTGAACAACATCGAGATTAGATGTAGCGTACAAGGTAAGAATGATAAGTCGACTGTCGAGGAGGTGAATCTTAACCTATTAGGATGGTTTAGACATGTTTTACGTATACTCGACCACCGTATACCTCGATGAGAGATGATGGTTAGCATGGGAATAGGTTAAAAGAGGTAGAGATGGTCGAACGAAAACGTGGAATCACCCCATGAAGAAATTAACCGTGGAACTGAGTCATGCAGGTAGGTAGAAAATAGGTGGTTGGGATCTGTGTGATTTTCTTGGCCAAGGTTTAGAGATTTTGGGTAACATAGCTCAGAATTGTTTGCAATGGCGCAAATCTAAACTATCTCAAAACATTTTCATACTCAACGGATTCATATTTCCTCTTCATATTATGTCTCCAGTGTCTGCTCTTTTATTTTACCAATGATACTACTACTACTACTTGTGTCTCACTGTTCTAATGTAGTGTTGTAGTGAACGAAGAAGTCAGGTAGGGATGACCAATTTATTATTTAATACAACATTACAGAGTATCTACGTAAAATATTAAAACCATACATTTAATGCTTTATTTACAAATCATCCATCAATTGACTCTTACAAACTTCCCCGTTCCTCCATTCCTGTTGTTATTACAATTACTTTCTATTTACATTTCCGTTCTGTCCAATCTAACATTCTGACAAGCATTCCACTTCTGATTGGTATTACATACCACTTATATCGACGAACGTGTAAATTTGTATCAGGAACTATGTTGATTACGACTGAGAGACCGCATTGTGGGTGGGTGTGTATTTCTGTGTATACGATCCCCGATTTGTGTTCACAACTTATTTTGTTCGGAATATTGATTGGCACAGATTATAAATAACGGGATGAAACTGAAATGTATTTTTAATGATTATTATGACCCTGATATGGAAGTAGAAAGTTATGAAACTTAATGGTAAGTCTTGCTAATTGAACGCTGTACTCGGTCCCTAAGCTATTCTCATAACCCTCAAGCTAGAACCACACAACAACTTGAACACAAGAGAAAAGACGCAAAATATGCGAGAAGCACTTTACTCCAAAGCTTCATTCATATACAGAAAATATAGGGCTTTTATAGTATTTCAGAAGTCCTTGGGTTTTCCTGAAAATTCTGGAATGCTAATAAACATGGTAGCAGTGTAGTATTCAGCCAATCAGATACTCTACATGTGAACAAATATGCGAACAAATATGCGCCACACAAGTCACTTGATTTGTGTGTGGGATGTGGTACTGCCCGGGTACCGATGTTCAATAAATTTATAGCAAAAAAATCCAAAACAAGGAAGTGCATGACATCGTTGAACCTTTTCAAACTAGACATTTGATGCTTGGTATCGATCTTACTGAAGCCTACTCATTCTGTATAATTAGATACCTTCTATCAAATTCCAGAAGTTCAAATAAAACCAGATGAATAAATTTCACCGACACATAAATGGTTGATACGCTTAATAATAAAACAATCAAAGAACACTTTCTAGGAACTTACATCAATTACAGTTTTTCCAGATGAATTACGAATACAAACATCTGCCCCATAAGCTAACAGCAATTCTACCTGACCAATTTGACCATATTGACATGCAACATGAATAGGTGCTGTGCCTTTGATTGGATGAAGAAAATTTGGATTTGCACCCTAAATATTTCCAACAGAAAGGTGAAAAATGCACAATTTCTTGAATACGGTAATGTAAAGGAAACAAGTAAAAACAGGAATTAACAACATTGTTTCCCAGTGGAGAACAATTGAAATTAATCAGCGAACCTGAGACAAATTAGTAAATCCCCGGCTTTTTAAAATACCTATTGCTAGATTCTCATCATTGACCAATACGACACCACTCAACATGGAAATGGTTATTAAGCTAGTGATATAAATGTTGCATTCCAGATCACAATTACAATATCTCCCACGATGTCATGAGTCATATTTATTATCTTACAGGTAAAAACATTATCTATCCGTTCAGAATGAAACTGAGTCTGAGACTCAACAGCTGATAACTGGGGAATCAAATCATCACAGACAAATTTCAGACTAGCATATTACGCTAATAAAGGCCTTGGAAAAGAAAGTTGAGGATGCGTTCTGCGAGTGCGACAATTTGCACTGATGAAGTATTGCATCATAATATATTACATTTACTAATCATTGAGTTGCAACCAATACCGAAGTTTTCAAGTCCTGGCATCAATAACATCCAACCACCTAACATACAGATGTAGTCGACTTCATATTACTTCTATCAGTAAATCTACCACTTATAAACCATTTTTATTTCAAACGACATTTAATGTTAAGACCAACCATAGACGAGTAACTATTCTCAATTGTCGCAGTCGCCGTGGATCGCTATTCCACAGCTAACCTGACAAAACAACTGAAAAAAGGAATCACATAAGCGGATAAACACACTTGAATAAAACTTAAACCAGAAATTTCGTTTGAAAAATAATTCAATCACCTACCAAAGCAAGTAAATACAGACTGGTCTCTAAAACTCCTGTCCTTACACTGGCATGGAGTTGCTGGTTTAAATCATCATGGTTAACGTTTCGTGGTTTCTTAAAAAATCCCAAAAACAAATACTTTTCTCGTATAAAATCAGCTTTGGTTGGATGCACTGGATCAGTAGGTAAAGGTTTTTTGTGAGGATGAAATGCTTTGCTGGATCGATTATCTGAATTTAATCCAGAAAGCATAGGTTCGTACAATACATGTTCCCAATACCCATTCGCACCAGCAGACGCCAAATAGCGTACCATAGAAAGTTGTGATGGCCTCCAGCGTGATTTCTCAAGATGTTTAACCTATATTTTTGATTAATTAAGACCATTCGTAGAGAGAACAAACCTGGCTTATATGTCTTCCTAGCTGTCGGTGAATGGAACTACATTCATCACATAACAGTACACCTCTATTGACAGACGCCCATTTTGGGGATGACGTACTACAGTCGGCGCAAAGATCCGCTTGAGCACTCATACTGGCTTAGTGAAATTCACCATGATCCATCACTGAAGGAGCTTAATAAAATTATATTATAATAGTAATGATAATAATAACAAATAAATTTTGCATTGGAATTACACATAATAGTTTAATAAACGCAAATCACTAGACCTAACAAGGTAGTAGTGCAGGCTTTAAACAATGCGATTCAATTTTGTGGGATCCCTAATCTAAATACCAGAATACCAAAATAAAAGGTAATGGGTGACAAAGTAAGGATTGAACATAGGGAAACGGGATTGTAATCCACAACCTTGTTATTGTTATTTGCTTGAACACAAATATTGATACAAAGGGGTATATATATACGCACCACACAATGAGAATGAAAATGTGAAGAGACGAAGTACAGTGAGTTTAATAAAAGAGAAGAACAATGAGTAGAAGTGAGGGTGAGTGAAATAATAATAACGATAATGACAAAAATAACAAATAATAATAACTAATAATAATGGGAGAGGCAGTTTAGTTAGCAAAGGTACAGCCAGAAAGAATCCTTCTAGTTCAAGAAGTTCCTGACCTTCAGAGCGAAAGTAAACGAAAGTTACAACACGATCGCCACTGACTTCTATTCTGAGCCATATCTGATAACGTCTCTAGCCACTGTGTTGCACCATCTCAAGGACCCCGACCAGGGAGTCATGAAGGACCAGCAGAAGCCAGTCCTGTGCAGCTTTCTTTCTTACCACAACATCATGTCAAACACTGACCACCTCTCCGCTTTTCCAACTAGTCCCAGCGTCGGCAAATAATGCACGACGTGGAATTCTCTGGGACGACATTCGTAAAACATGTCCAAGTCACCAAAGTCGATGTTTCAAGACAGTGACACCTATTGAACTATAGTCGCTGTGCCTGAACACACGATGCACAACCTCTGCATTGCTAACATGTTTTTGCCACCGGATGTCAGCAATCCTTCGGAGACAATGATGATCAAACACAGAGAGTCGTCTAACATCCTCAACAAGGAGAGGCCAGGTTTCACAAGCACAAAGCAAAACTGCTCTCACCGACCCATTTTAGATCAGACCTTTTACAACCAGACTAACATCACGAAGGCGCCAAATATGGCCCAGATTGGCATAAGCCACTCTGGCTTTCACTATACATGAAATGATCTCATCACTCACGCCACCACCAGCACTTATGTAGCTACCTAGATACACGAACTTCTCAACTACTTCAATCTGCTCACCATCCAGGGTGAGTACAGGATTAGAATCCTGCCAGTCTTGTAAAAGTACTTTGCACTTCGAAGGTGCAAAGCACATACCATACCTACGGATACTGATTGCCAACTGATTAAGTGCGGGTTGCATGGCTTGGGCATAATCGCACAGTAAGACAATATCATCCTCATACTCAAGGTTGAGAAGTCTTTCTCTAGGAAGCAGGTCCACAATGACATTATATACATCTATCAGAGCTGTTTTCATAACATCATCGATGGCAAAGTTGAAGAGGAATGGTGGGATTGGACAACCCTGTCTAACACCAATGCTTGAATGGAACAATGGATAGACGTGGTTGTATGCCTCCACTCTGTTTGAGATATTGGTATATAGGGTTTTCAAGATGTTAATGAAATCCACAGGCACACCCTTCTTCAGTAGACAATTCCAGAGAACAATCCTGTCTAACGAATAGAAGGCGGCCTTGATATCAAGGAACACTACGATTGCTGACCTGTAATAAGTATGACGGTGTTCTAACATTTGGTGGAGGGTGAAGATACGATCAATACATCCTCGACCAGAACGAAAACCAGCCTGCTTCTCATGGGTCAATCTTTCTTGAGTCCGGAACAATTTACGAAATATGACAGAAGCCAATAGTTTGGACGCAATCGGACGTAGACTTATCCGCGATAGTTGTTGCATAGATGACGTGAACCCTTTTTAAAGATAGGGACAACTATCGACTCATTCCACGATGTTGGAACACTCCCTAACTGGCAAACCGTTGAAAACAACTCAGACAGTCCATTAACCAGAAAGTTACCACCAACTTTAAAAACGGCCGGAGGTAAGTCACCTGGACCAGGTGGTTTGTAGCGCTCCAAGAGTCAGAGTTCCTTGAGAACTTCCGCCTCGTTAAGTGGATTAGTCGTCACAATTTATGGAGGGCAGGACAGTTTGATCGATGTTGCCGGGGCAGCAGACCAGTTGAACTGCTCCTAGAAAAACTCTCCCCATCGTCCAAGATGTCAGTATATGTCATTGATTTGGATCCCATTCGTTTCACAGACTGTTTCACTCACACCAGACTTCTTGCTGCCAGTGGCTCGGATGATTTGGAAGAGCTTCCGGCAGTTACCAGATGCAGCTGTTGCTTCCATCTCATTAGCACGCTCCGACCACCAGGCTTCTCGGTCCTTACGCAAACTTTGTGTAATTTTATGAGTTTAGAAATAATAAGCTTCGAACACTGCAATAGCACGGACACAGACATAAGGTGATTTATTCGCCCAAGAAAAAAAGTTTAAACCGAAACTGATCAAAAAATAGAGAGGTTTATGCTTGTTGTACACTTTCGAGGTGAACACATAGTGATAGAAGTAATAATAATCTTTTCCAAATCTAGATATGCGGATTTACTTAACTAGCAAGTAATAATACTTAAATAGGTTTCTCAATAAAATCCGAAATAACTAATAACCGAGAGCTAATGACTGATGATATGTTAACATACAACTCATCAAGTACAGATATATGTTATCGACCCCCAGTCATAATTATTTTCTAAAAGCTAGTGATACTACCAAAATATATAAACAAAAGTAAATCGTGTGGATTTTAGACCTTAAAGCTTTATTCATGAGACTACATTCCAATCTTCACTATAAAAATTTTACAAATCAGCTGGTTTAACATTTTATCAGTAAATATTCATCCTCACTTTTTAAATAATCAAGATTAAGTGTAACAAAAACATTTTAAATGAGTAGCTGTTTAAAGTTAATCAATATTTTCATGCAAGTCAATATTTTTCAACATGATAAATCTGGGAAGAAACATCTTATTGAAAATTAATATTAGAAGTCATATGATTGAGTATAAAGTAGGTTTCTCAACTAACAGGATTTTAATGATTCCTTAAGTCATTTTATGATGAAACTTATCTTGACATTATAGAAATGTTAAGAACCACTAACTCTAATGACAATTCGCGAAGCATTAATATGTTATTATGAGCTATTAAACTATCACGGAAGGTGCCCTAGTAATTAGCGGTGGTTGAAGGTATGATCATATATCCTCAACCAAAGTGAAAACCAATCTGCTACTCACGAGTTAATCTTTTATGTACTGAAATAATCTGGGAAGTATGATAGAGGTCAATATTTTGCAAGTGATCAAGATATTTATTCCGATAGCTTTTGCATAAGCGACGTAAGCAATTTAAGGATAAGAACAACTACCACTTTATTCCATGGTGTTGAGACACATTTTAATCTCCAAACGTTGAAAACGACGCTTTCAGCTCTCTGACCAGAAGATAGCCACTAGTCTGAGAAACAACAAAGTGTGGTTTAAAGCTTGGTTTCAGATCTGAAGTCGTATTTTGTGAACCCTAATCGTTAGCATTAGTGGGACACCAAAAAGTTGATAACATAAGATTCGGTTTGAAAGTGAAAGTAGAAGTAACCGTACCCAAATGTATTTGCGTTGGTGAAAACACCCGTTTTTCACAAATACCCTAGCACCATTGATTTTAAGAGCATCGTATTACCTGTGAACGTCTCCAATTACAGTCATTTTAAGCTATATATAGCTTATTGTAATTACAATGAAGACGAGAGGATTCAGTGGAACCTTCGGTGAAATTAAATACATTTAGATTTAATTCAATGCTTTATTCATAATGCAAACTTACTTTGTATATTGGGCAGTGAAACAATCCCCACAAAACGTTAGAGCAGATTCATTGGGTACACTCAAAAAGCAACAACTAAACGACCTTGGCAAATGTACAGAAATTAAATTTGCGTTGCGAATCGAAGTAGCTCAATATTACCAAATTACTTCGCTAGCAGCGCAAGGGAATTGAAATTAAGATGGTTCAAATGGTTTGGACGAAATAGAAGAGGCTTTGATTTGCCGGACTTTCTTATCTAGTATTAGAGCATCATCGATACCTTCTGATACGAACCTAAGCATATTTAACAGTCAGAAGAGAAGTATTACTAAATTGCATTGAAATAGTGTCATAAACCCCAGGGAATATCTCACGTTCTCCCTTGAAAAAACTCCTGAGAAGTCACCTAGACTACCGCAAATGATAGCGAATTCCAGAGTTTAACTGCTCATACATAGTAGAAGCTACACAGCATTCCATTCTACTGTATTGATCTACTTTTATGACGAGAACGCGATTGGTATAATAGAAACAATTATTATTATAACCAACTATACCAGTGGTTATTTTACTGTACTTGTTTGTTCAACTATACCAAAAAGACTTTTCCGCCCGTTGCCTTTTACCTTGCACGAACTTGCTTACACTCGTCAGTTCCGCCCGTAAACTTTGGCACGTCTCTGTATTCTTTCGATACCACGACATCGTCAACAAATATATCTTATTGCAACTATTAACAGCCTTCTGGTTTTTGGCCTACCGAGGGATCCACGTCGATACCTAGCACGTAATCTTCATGTAATGGTGATCATGGTCGATCGCGAATCAACACTCATCTACACTACCATGCTGCGTCTCTTATTTCTGGGTGATATTCCTAAGGTTTGTGTTAGGGGTGAGCCTAAGCGGATGTTTAAGGGAGTATCAATGAATATTTGAGATGCTATAAGTTATTAGAAGGTAATCCTTTAGACGCCTATACTCTAATAAGTTAAGATTCAGCTATTTGAGACGCGCTTCATAAAGTTTGACTTTGAATCCTCGAACTGACTCTGCGTCTCCCCTTGAGATATGTACCAGTGCATTATTATCATTTAGGAATGAAGGATGATAAACCCTCTTTGTGTACTCTGAATACGGTCTAATAAAGCCGTTAAGGATTACGTCGAGCTTTTTAATGCCAAACTTGCTAAAACTGTGCTTAAATGTTACTAGTCAATTATTTGCCTGAAAAGGCGTTTCCTTCACAGTTAGCAAAAGAATTTATATCATAAGGTATCAAAACTCCTAGATCTTTTTCAACTTGCGACACTACTAGAGGAAAGTTCCTCAAGTTGTATGCGTAGTCTGAGACGTGTCTCAGATGAACTACTTCACACTTTGGAGTATTCACAGTTATTCACTTATCGATTTGATCAAACCGATTGTAAAAATTTCTTGTCAAGGTCAACCAATTTTCTCTGATGGAGGATTAAGTTTACTTTCCACTCAGAATCTTTGTCACGAGCCAGTAAAAATCAAATAAATTCTTGGGGGTAGCTTCTTGTCGTCTCAATACCAGTTTAAATAAGTATGACTCACGTATTATCATCTTTAGTCGTATCCACATTTTTTTCTTATTTCGCCAAATACAGAGGAGCTATTCATCATCGCCATCTAGATGCTTACCACGTTACGTAGTTGTATCTTTGTACATCGTAAAACTCTAGCTTGTGAATTGTGTGTGATATGTTGAAAAACATTAGTTAACGGTAGTGGAGATAGGACTACTAAACATATTTTGCAAACAATTTTTCATAGTTTTTGCACCTATTTTGTGTATTTTCATATTCTGTACATTTAGCACTAAACAGTTGTCTTTGTTGTTAAAGTTGATGACTTTGAACACTTGTTAATTAACTTCCTTCCGTTTTGAATCCAACATAGCACGACATTGTTATTGCTCATCAGTAAATACGCTTTAATACACACCTGCCTCGTTCTATTATGTCTGCAAATATGATAAATGAATTGTTAATTGACTATCATCTACATTTAAAGACTATTGTGACATTCGTATGCTTGACAAACTTACTGGAACCATATCGTCCATATTGGAATTATTAATCTTCTATAATTGTGGATTACTGGTACCAAACCCAACGGAGCACGCAACAGCCAGTCAATTAAAATAACTTCCCCAACTTTTATTTGTGTATGTTTAACTTATTAACTGTTTATTGTTACATAAACTTTTGTCGTAATATTTTTATCGCTATTTTTGGTTAACATACTTTTTGGTCCGTCACGGCGTTCTTTACGCCCAACGAATCAGTCACATCTTATTTGTATGCGGAGCTGTATACAACTATTAGTTGAAGTTTCAACTCCTCACAGAAAACGCTTGAAAAATCCACAACTGTTATTCAACAGTGTTATATCCCCCGGTGAATTACGAATGGTAACTTTTAGGTCTATTTATGGATCAATGTAATATGCCTATTTCCTATTGTATAGTTGTTAAATAACTGACCTAATCGTATTCGTGTTCCTCTTATCATAACCTTTATTTTGACCTTTGAACTATTATTATTGATTACTTTCCCCCTATCTACAGCCACATTGCCCAATTATTGTACAAATGTTATTTTTCTATTTTTTGGGATAATTTGGTCTGTTTGTTTAGTATATAAACCCAGTATGCTTGTGAATAATGATTCATACCACTGAGGCTGTTATTGGTGTTTTGGACTTAACTGGCTGGGCTAGGCAGATCGCAGGACCGGTTAGCACTGTAGTTTGCTCGTACAGGTTTCGTGTCACTGTTCCAATCGACAATTCGCTGCTCCCGGTTAGGCGGTCTTATCGCGTCACACATCAACAAGTCATCCACTCGGCCACAAGACATAACAAACAGTCAGACAAAAAACTGAGACAATCGATCCACTTATGCCACTTTTTTAATGAATTCTAACAACAAAATATTCTATCAACGTGCTAGCCTACGACATGGCAAACGTTATTTGATTTATGCTAAAATACCTTCATCAATGGATTATCTGTTTGGGCATGCAAACATCATAAAAACCATATTTTTGAAACTACATAAATTAGGTTTTCAACAAGCATGTAGTGGTACTGATTCTAAACATACAATCCTCAAAGCTGAACATGAGATAGCTTAGAAGATAGACATTCAACATTTAACACTAGGCAAAGTTCAATGATGGTGACGGTAGGAACATTAATTCAACTCAAGTGGATGGCATGGCTCAGCCTCTCAAACGTGACCATTCTGTATAATTTATCTTTATTCACACTAAATATATTGTTCTATCTATGATATGACTTCTACGTAAGATCTTGTGGATTAGGTTTTCACATCATGACAAATCTACAATTTTTTAGTTTAGGTCTATTATTAGAGCAGTATTAATGACAAACTAAACCAGAATCCTACAAGTAAGACGAATTTCATGGACGAGCCGATCAGAAGCAAGCGAGTAATTACAAGGTCACAGCTACCCAAAGCTCACATATGACCGGGTTACAGAGTAACTGAAAACAAACGTTACGGCTACAATGAATAGAATCGCCGAAAGTTCTTCCATTTGTGATAGTGGTGATCAAATGACTGCCAGACATTTTAATAATAATAATAATAATAATTTATTCTCAAATAACAGTTTGTTACATGAGGTATGCCGGTTTACAGGCAACATCAAATTGTTAAAGAAGTTACAATTTACACTGTTGAAAATTACTCTGCTGGGTTGATATTTCATAAGATATGAATGTGAATGGATTTCGTAAGAAACATGTCAATATCACACTTGACACACTTTATGGAGGTAGCGTTGCAACATACAACTGATGGTCGAGAATAGATACATGCGAAGTTGGGGGCTTTTAGAAGTTTCGAATTTATATTCCTCCAGAAAACTCCACCTGTAGCTTTTATAGAGTTACTGCCGGTTCCAAGCCCGGATAAAGGAGGAGGGTTGTGCATGAGGTTGGCGACCTCATCATGTAGAAAACTAACTCGCTGAAGAAACGCTAACCAGAACTGGTGGGCGGCCTATGCTCCTCCACGAGGGGTAACAGGTGTAAGTAAGTAAGTAAGTAAGAATATCGGGAGCTTTAATAACGGCGTAGGACGAAATCACTCGTGCCATATCTGTTTTCGGTGGAGTATCTGCAGGAGACTCAAAAAGGTGTAAGAAAAAGGAAGGACGAAAAGCTGAGCACACAATATTCATGAAGGAATAGTTAAGGTATAACCATTTAGTCTATTTGTCTGTTACTGAAGTTCATCCTATGTAACGACTATACTGACTTAATGCAGACACTACAGCTATTCAATACAGCCCATCCGTCTATTAACTTCACATGTGAGGAGGAAAATGGAGGTAGGATCGCTTTTCTAGATGTTCTCCTTACAAAGAGAGAAGACGGTTCATTAAGGAGAAATATAAACAAGAAAAAATCGTGGACGGGTCAGTATACTAACTTTCTTAGTTTTGTTCCTCTACAGTACAAAAGGAACCTAATTAAGACATTACACTATAGAATTAAGACCATATGCTCTGAAGATACGGTCGAGGAAGAAACAAAAGCATTATATAGGACCCTGAGAGAAAATGGATACCCGGAGAAATTTATAAATAAAAACATTACTAATAAAAGAGACCATAAAGAATGTTTAATTGTGAATAAAAAACCTCTGTATATACGTCTACAATTCAGAGGTGACGCACCTGGTGAAATGGTAAGATTGAAACTACGAAGATCAATCGAAAGGACTTTTAATGCAGGTAAACTACAACTAATGTTTTCCACACGCCCAATGATCACGCCGACATTGAAAGATAAATTGCCTAGACTAGCCACTTCTTTCTGTATCTATCAATTCAACTGCTCCTGTGGAGCAAGTTATATAGGCAGATGTTCTAGGAATTTGTATACTCGGGCTCGTGAACACCTTCCAGTGTGGTTAAGCAAAGGTGTAGTCAGAACGGTTAACAGCTCTGTTTTAGCCCATTTAGTTCAGACGGGACATAGA